AGTGAAAAAATTTCAAACACGTGGTAGCATTTTGTGGTCAAGGGAAGCTTGGAGATAGGAAGAGCCGTTGGAGGGTAATGCACAAAGACAAAGGCGCGTCTGTTGAAGAGCCTTACATCATGTGGACAGGATTTCCCCCTTCTGTTACGAACATAAGTTATATGTGTAGTACATGTTTACAAACCATGGTGCTTCTTTATATGTGAGACTTAATTTACCACAAAGCATTTTGAAATTCTATTACCTTTTGTTTGGTGTGTGGTCATAGGTTTGCTTTTCTGACTTAAGGATCTCTGTTCTACACAGGGAACATTTTTGAGGAGGTTACTGAAAAAATTATCTAAAAATGTATCTGTGAATTTGTTTAGAAGTGATGTTTAATATAGGAAGTATTTTCAGTAAATATGGAAATGTGAAGAGTTAATACTCTTTAATAGAAACACTCACTGCCCCCCCTCAAATGCCCACTCACATCACTTTTATTCAACAGAGTATTGGAAGCGCTGGTCTGAGCAATTAGTCAAGACAAGGAATAAAAGGCATCTAAATTGGAAAGGAAGAAGTCAAACTGTTACTATTTGCAGATGACATATTATATATAGAAAACCCTAAAGACTCTACCAAAAAACTGTTAGAAAAATAAACAAATTCAGTAAAATTGCAAGATATAAAATCAGCATATAGAAATCTGTTGCATTTCTATACTCTAATTAGAGACTTTCAGAAAGAAAAGTTAAGAAGACAGTCCCACTTACAACTGCACCAAAAAGAATAAAACAGCAAGGAAGTGAAAGGCCTGCACAGTGAAAGCTGCAGGATGCCGTGAGAGAAGCAGAAGACACAAACACGTGGGATGGCGTTCCAGGCTCATGGGCTGAAAGAATTAATAATGTTAAATATTCGTATTACCCACGGCAATCTAGAGATGAACATGATCCCTGTAAAAACTCCAGTGGCATTTCCCCACAGAAGTAGAACTAACAATCCTAAAATTTGTATGGGACCACAGAAGACCCAAATAGCCTAGGCAAGCTTGAAATAAAAACAAATGCTTCTTGATTTCAAACTACATTACAAAGCTACACTAATCAGAACAGTATTACTGGCATTAAGAACAGACATACAGATCGATGGACTAGAGCAGAGAGCTCAGAAATAAACCCAGGCATGTACGGCCAGTTAACTTGCAGCAGGGGAGGGGAAAGGACAACCTCTTCAGTGGATGGCACGGGGAGAAGTGGGCAGCTGCGTGCAGAAGGCTGAAGCTGGGCCTCTGTGTGGCTCCGTGCGCAGGAACGAGCTCAGAGTGCATTAAAGACACGAATGCAAGACCTGTAACCGTAAAACTCCTGGAGGAAAACGGGTGAT